TAATATTTATTTTATCGTTATTTTCTGTTTGTAATTCTGTTCTTATTGGTAAAATCCAGAGTTATATAATAGTTGGTGATATGTATAATAATTTATTTAATGTAACAGAAGATCAATGCATATGTGAAATGATAAAAGTAAATGATTCAATATCTGCTTTGAATTATTTTTCAACAAATCAAACTTGTCAATTATATCGTTCAAATATTAGTACAATTTATATTGGATTTTATTTAAATTCTACTTTTATATTTCTTAATCAATCATCAATATCAATATTAAATATTCAAGAATATCGTAAGTTTTGATTTCGCAATACTACAAAAATGCCATAACTATTTATAGACTCAAATTCCAATAATTTGAATGAATTTGATATTTATACTTTTTAAATTCTAAAAAAATTTGCCTCTATCAATGATTTTTCCACTGACTGTAGTTTGTAGTGCTCGCTAATCATTAGTATTTGTTCTCAGAATCGATATACGTTAACCTTATTTTTCGAAACAGAACCGAGTACGTCATCATCAGCACCAGCAACAGTACCATCAACTTCACCATCATCATCATCAGCAACGTCTTCTTCATCATCATCAACTTCAACAGCGACAACAGCAAACCCAACATCAACATCGTCAACAACAACAACATCATCGTCCACCTCAACATCGTCGACCCCAACGACGTCATCAACATCAAAAACAACATCGTCATCGTCAACAGCAACAACAACTGGTAAGTGTTGGATTAAATACCTAGTGCTTACGTCAGTTGTTGAAAAGAGAAATAGTTTTACGAGAGTGGATGTTAGAGCAAGGTTAATGTAGTACACACACTCATATCGTAGAGAGCCATGGAATGGAATAAAAAATTATTTTCGTTAGGCTTAGGTATCAAAAATTATTCAAAAAAAGCTTATCAGCGCAGCCCCGTTTGGGCTAAAAATGTGGAACTCACGTATATTCGCATCAAAATATCTGATCACGTATAAGTGCTTTGTTTTCTTTTGTTGCTCAAATTTATTTAATTTATAGCTATTTTTCACCATTTTTGTTATTTTTATTAAATTTGTAGTAATTTATGGCTATTTTTAACTATTTTTGCTTATTTTTATTAAAATTCTACTAATTTTATAGCTGTATTTAACCATTTTGCTTATTTTTTTATAGAAAAACCCGGAATTTATAACTATTTTTAAGGATTTTTAGTTATTTTTATTGAATCTCGGAGGGGGGGGGAAGGGAGCTGGAAAACTTGAACTTAAAGTTACACTTACGTTTTCTTCGAAAATTTACGTGAATTCCACAAAAGACTACACGATTTTGTTCAACGCCGTAGTGCTAACTAAGTCCACGTTATAAAAATTCTAAAGAATTCAACGAAGAATTTCTGTTTCTGTATCATTCAAGATGCTGAAAATAGTTTTTGTTTTTAATAGCCTGCAACTATTTTCTTAATCAAATTACTTACCCAGTTGGCTCAAGACCATACTCAATAGCAGTCGTCGATGTGAATAGCGACAATGAACCTGATATTATTGTTGTAAATCAGAGTCCTGACAGCGTCAGTGTTCTTCTCAACGCAGGCAATGGCACATTTAATGTTCAAGCTACTTATGCAGTTAGTTCTAGCCCAGTATCAGTGTCAGCTGTCGATGTGAATAGCGACAATAAACTCGATATTATTGTTACAAACTCTGGTTCAGGCACCGTCGGTGTTCTTCTCAATGCAGGCAGTGGTACCTTTAATGCTCAAACTACTTATACAGTTGGTTCTGGTCCACGATCAGTGGCAGTCGTCGATGTAAATAGCGACAATAAACCTGATATTATTGTTGCAAACTATGGTGTGAACACTGTTAGTGTTCTTCTCAACGCAGGCAATGGCATCTTTAACAATCAAACTACTTATATAGTTGGCACTAATCCACACTCAGTGGTAGTCGTCGACGTAAATAGCGACAATAAACCTGATATTGTTGTTACAAACTCTGTTTCGAACAACGTCGGTGTTCTTCTCAACGCAGGCAATGGCACATTTAATGCTCAAACTACGTATACAGTTGATTCTAATCCACGGTCATTAGCAGTTGTCGATGTGAATAGTGACAATAAACCCGATATTATTGTTGCAAACTATTATGGGAACACTACTAGTGTTCTTCTCAATGCAGGCAGTGGCACTTTTAACACTCAAACTACTTATACAGTTGCCTCTAATCCACTCTCAGTAGCTGTCGTCGATACGAATAGCGACAATAATCCTGATATTGTTGTTGCAAATTATGGTTCGAATAACGTCGGTGTACTTCTTAACGCAGGCAATGGCACCTTTAATGCTCAAACTATTTACTCAGTTGGTATTAATCCATACTCAGTAGCAGTCATCGATGTGAATCAGGACAGTAAACCTGATTTTATTGTTACAAACCAAGGTTCGAACAACGTCGGTGTTCTCTTACATTGTTAAGGCTTACTGATGATTAACATTTATTTATTAATATTTCACTACTCTACTAAAAATATTACGCTTATAAAACATTATATAATACGAACTACTATTTGACTTCACTTATTATTACGAATTTAAATAAAACTTTGCGCCCATGGATATTAATGATAACTACATTAGTATTCATACATTGGACAGTAACTCGTTATTTAATAATAACATTTCTAGTTATGAAACTTTTCTG